ATTCCTGCCCATCCAACTACTTTTAGCTCTGTTGAGATGTGGGGGTGGAGCTCCGTTACCCTAGAATGATCAAACGACACTCTCAGGATGGTGTTGCAATTCACATAAGGGCTGGTTTCAGACCCAGCTCTCTGTTTTATTAAAAATACACACATGCCCCCCACATGAATAAAGTCAATCCCCTCCCACCAAACAATGCAATGGGAGTGCCTATACACAGGATGTACATTCCAATTGGAGCATAGCCTTTCCTATTATCTATCACTGGTCCTCCCCCATGAGTCTTCTGAGGTCAGCAGACTTCCTCCCCTTCCCCCCCATGAGCCATCTGAGGTCATATTTCCTGTCCTACTAGCTTCTATTGGTATGTAAATTCTTTGTACAAGCATTCCCTAAAAATATTAGTCTGTACCTGGATGGGCCCGATACGATCTTTATTAAAACACATCCATCCAAGATACAGTTTCAAGTTGGTAATGGGTTGTAAGATATGCATAAGCCTACACGTGGAGTTCGTACCGCTTGGCGCCTTGCGTTATGAAGCCCATGTGGTACTATGCTGCTGATATGTGGATACAGGCCCACGGTCTACTGCCAGCGACATTCGCATCGAATGCCGTGGTGGTATACACGCCGGTCTATAAGCGCAGATCTGCCATCTCATCCATTACCAAGCTGAGTACTGTAATACATACATTGTACATGCGCATGGCCCAATTGCAGCCTTCAGAGCTTTAATTAAGCCACACGAGAGACATATGAATAACACGAATATGTGACACATTTAAAGTTCGACCAACAATACAAAATTTCCATGACAGTAGTGGAACACTTGCAGGTCCTGCTTGCACAGGAGTACAATAGCTGGAAGTAAATTTTGGAAAATGTCCTGGGTGAGGTCTTTCCTGAGTTGCACAAGGCACAGGTAATATTTCAGAGAATATCACCTTGGAGGTCCTACCCTTCAACTTGCAGTCTAGTTCTTTAATTTGATTCTTAAGGAGCCTCCACCTTCCATGTATTCTGTCATTGGTTCCAACATGAACCAAGACAGCTGAATCATGCCCAGCCCCTCCCAGTAATTTATCAACCCGGAAAAGAAGCTGTAAATAAAACAACAGCTAAGCAACCAAATTATATGGCCTAATACAGTGTTTTTTCAACCTTTTTTGTGCAAAGGCACACTTTTTTCATGAAAAAAATCACGAGGCACACCACCATTAGAAAATGTTAAAAAAATTTACCTCTGTGCCTATATTGACTATATATAAAGTAATTCTCTTGAATAGGAATCAAACACAAAGAAATTATTTTATAATTACTTTATTATGAAATAATAAAGTATTTTATAATTGGACCCGGGGGCCGGACCAAGAGTAGATGAATGATGTGTATGTGTCATCCATAGTAAGTATAGTAATATTCCCCCATAGTAAGCATAGTAATTAATCCCCCATATAGTAATTCATCCTCCATATAGTAATTCATCCCCCATAGTAATTCATCCCTCATATAGTATTTCATCCCCCCATATAGTATTTCATCCCCCCATATAGTATTTCATCCCCCCATATAGTATTTCATCCCTCATATAGTAATTCATCCCTCATATAGTATTTCATCCCTCATATAGTATTTCATCCCTCATATAGTATTTCATCCCCCATATAGTATTTCATCCCCCCATATAGTATTTCATCCCCCCATATAGTATTTCATCCCTCATATAGTATTTCATCCCCCCATATAGTATTTCATCCCTCATACAGTAATTCATCCCTCATATAGTAATTCATCCCCCATATAGTATTTCATCCCTCATATAGTATTTCATCCCCCCATATAGTATTTCATCCCTCATATAGTAATTCATCCCCCCATATAGTATTTCATCCCCCCATATAGTATTTCATCCCCCCATATAGTATTTCATCCCTCATATAGTAATTCATCCCTGATATAGTAATTCATCCCCCATATAGTATTTCATCCCCCCATATAGTATTTCATCCCTCATAAAGTAATTCATCCCTCATATAGTATTTCATCCCCCACAGTACTATTCCCCCCCCCCCCTTCTAGTAAGCCAAGTCCCCCGTGTCAATTCACTTACCTTTTGCGTTCCTCTCGCTGTCTTCCCGCGCCGTTCGGGTCTTCAGGGCGGACTGTGAGAGGAGCCTAGCTCCCCTCCCCTCACGTTCGGCACGCTGCCCCGCCTACACACATCCTGACAGCCACATCCGCAAGCCGGATTAAAAGGTCCGCGCGGACTTTTGGGGCTGCCAACCGAGAGGAGGCAGGGGAGCGGCCGACCGAGAGGAGGGAGGGGAGCAGGCGCCCGGCACACAGAAGAGCCGCATTAGACTGGGTAAAGAGCCGCATGTGGCTCGCGAGCCGCGGCTTGCCGACCACTGAATCATTAGATTCTAATGATTGGTCTATTTGTGAGCCGAAGCCACATGTTACAGATGAAATTGGAATTTTTCCCACGGCACACCAGACAATATCTCACGGCACACTAGTGTGCCGCGGCACAGTGGTTGAAAAACGCTGGCCTAATAGATATGAATAGAGTGTAGCCTACCTCTGATTAGACAAGTCCCACTGTGGCATGGACAGGTAACTACTGCAAAAAAAAAAAATTGCCAGTAAGTCTCAAAGACTCCATCAAATAGAAGATACAGCAGTGGTTGCTAAGTATGTTGATAGTGCAGCAAAATACATTAATAGCACAGAAAAGTATAGTGATAATGCCACAGAGTACAGCAAAATATAGTGATATTACAACAAAGTACAGCAAAGTATAGTGTTTAGTGCAAGAAGCGGTACCATGTACTCCATACTCATTCACACGGGGGGGCAGGATCTGGGGGCCCCCCTGCTAAAGGGGGCTTCCAGATTCCAATAAGCCCCCTGCCTGCGGACCCCCACAACCAAAGGCCAGGGTTGTGGGGAAGAGGCCCTTATCCCCATCAACATGGGGACAAGGTACTTGGGGGGGAACCATCCATGTTGAGGGCATGTGGCCTGGTATGGTTCAGAAGTGGGGGGAGGCGTTCGAGCACGCCCCCCCCCCCCTTTCCTGACCTGCCAGGCTGCATGCTCGGATAAGGGTCTGGTATGGATTTTGTAGGGGAGACCCACGCGCCATTTTTTTTCATTTATGGTGCCAGTTTTTAAATGTAATTACCGCCTTTTTTTTTTCTTCATTCACTATAGCTCAGAAATTCAACTGTCACTTTCCCCCCAGCTCAAAGAAAGAAAGTTTTCTTTTAGTTTATTTCCCCATGTTTCCTTTTAGATTCTTAAAAGAATAAAAGAAACAAAGTTTCCGTTAACTCCGGAGAAAGTGACAGCTAATTCTGTGAGCTACAGTGAAGAAAAAATCAACACTTCGTATTGCGAAATAAATTTGTAAAAAATTTGTAAACCAAGGCATTATTTTAAATGGATTACGTTAACTGAGGCGTTTGTAAACAGAGGTATTACTGTACCACCAAAAGAAAGCTCTATTTGTGGGGAAAGAAATTACATACATTTAATTTATGTACATCATTGCATGACTGCACAATTGTCAGTTAAACGAGCACGGTGCCATATAGCAAAAAATGGCATAAATTCCAGTATCTATACCATAGTTTGTAGACGCTATATAACATTCACATAAACCAATTAATATACACTTATTGGATTTTTTTTTTACCAATGACGTAGGAAAATACATTTTGGCCTAAATTTATGATGAAACTTGAGTTAATTGGATATTTTTTGTAGCAGAAATGAGTAAAAAAATTTTTTTTTTTTATTTTTTTCAGTCTTTTTTTTTTTGTAGGAGAAAAAATAAAATACCCAGAGGTGATCAAATACCACCAAAAAAATCTCTATTTGTGGGGGAAAAAATTTTGGTTTGGGTACAGCATTTCATGACCATTGCAATTATCAGTTGAAATAGCGCAGTTCCAAATAGCAAAAAATTAACCGCATCCAATTAGCATGAAATGTGAAATAACATTGCTTCCTATGGTGCCTGTTCACATATGTCTGGTGCACGGCCAGTGCAGATTCAATGCGGTGTTAAAAAAGAGTCATGTCCAATTTCTGAGCAGTGCAGTCCAGTTCAGGGGCAGAGCTGGGCAGAGGCTATTGACTTTTATGGGAACCGCATATGTCTGAACAGGTTTAGATCCTGAGCTAATCCTGTCCTGAACCTGATCTAAACCTGACGTGAACCTGTGAACAGCTGCTGTATCAATTAGTTGTGATCCTGAGCTTCAATCTGCACCGCATATGTGTGAATCAGCTCTAAATCTTCCGGAGGGTAAGTGGTTAAAGGGTGCCTTGACTAGGAAAAGGTTGAGAAATACTGGTCTATGCCACTTACAATATAAAGAAGAAATAAGTGCTTATTTGCAGTTTTGTTTCTTTTAAAAAATGTAGGTTAGAAGACTGGAAGTTGTCAGCTTTGGTTAAGGCCCAACTGAATTTTTCATTTTAAATTAAATAAATACATTCTGGGTGCTTCAATGCAACAGCTGTACAAAGCTTACTTTAGAATCTTTTTTTTAAAGCAGCAACAGCATGGGTAAAAAATTCTATCCTGCAAATTGTAGAGAAGGACCCTTCCTCTTTGTGTGGAAGCAGTGGTCTATCTGCATATTTGGACCCACCTGCTACTCAGTCACAGCTAGAGCCCTCAAATCAGCAGAGAGCATGAAGTTTGCTGATTATAGAGCTATCAACAGAGGTTATGTTGGTCCTCTGCAACCAGACCACTGCTTCCACACAGACAGCAAGGATCCTGTTGTACAGCCTACAGACAGGGAATGGACTTCTCCAGTTTGACGTCTTTGATTCAGCTCCCAGGCTTAGTAATAGATCCCTGGTAAAACCATTTGAAGCTGCTGGCAGTCAGTGTGCAAGTGTCTCCAGACGTGCTCCAGACATAATTAGAGGCTTCGAGAGGTTCTCCCTAATGCATGTTATTACTTTATTTCTTGTAGAGATAGCCAATCCTGACCAGAAAAACATACGAGGAGAATCTGTTAAATCTGCTACAAGACGCGCTCCTCCACCAGAGCAAGAGGTAAGATGGAGACTTCTTAAAGAGAACTTGTAGACAAAAAGGCAAAACAATCTTTTTAGTGTTTCCTAATATGAGGTGCCGTCCGTTTGTGCAGATATTTATTTATATTTATTCATTGGCTTTTCTTTTGAGCCACAACCAAATATGGTTCCTTTTCATAGGCTACTGAAGCTCCCACTTTGGAATAGCAGCGGCGTGCTAGGGCTCAGTTGAAGACACTCTAGGATTCAGGATTTGCAAGGGTAAAGGGACATACACCAGATGATTTAATTTAACATAAGTAATGAGAAAACTATAGGAGGTTAAAATAAAAAGAATGTGAGCACTTGACTCTGTCAGAAGGGGGAAGTGCCTGTGTCCAAAGAAATGTACTGTACCACTGCAATCTCTATGCAGTTGGAATGTTACTTGAAGGCTCTGGGAAAACCAACTTGTTCTGGGGATCTGCATACCTTTCATCAGCACTAATAATAAACATGTTTGAAAATAAAGAGGTATTAAACCCAAAAGCAAACAGTTATTATGTTGCAGCTTACCAATTCTTAGATGTGACCACTGTATTCATTTTCTTTACTTTCATCTGGAGATCTGGCCACAGGGTCGGATCTACCCTGTCTGATGTGGGGGCGCAGTAAGAAATGTCAGGGAGCAGAGGATGGGAGGTCAGCAGGGTAATGTACAAGGAGTCAGCAGGACAAAGGATAGGGTCAGTAGTTCACAGAGCATTGTACAGAGGTTATTAGTTTGTAGGGTAGTGTACAGGGGTCAACAGGGAGTAGGACAGGGGTCAGCACGGTGGAGGACAGGGATCAGCATGGTAGTGTATAGGGTGTCAGTGGGCCAAAGGATGGGAGGTCAGCAGGGGATAGTACAGGAATCAGTAGTGTACAGGGGTCAGCAGGGCCAAGGACAGGCGTCAGCAGGGAGGAGGACAGAGGTCACTGCTGGTAGGGCACTCGGCAGAGCTCCTACTCTCATGCCTGCACTGCACACAGCCAAGACACAAGCAGCAGAGCTCCTCCTTCGCATACAGCACATAGCTGAGATTGTATTCCTTTACACACATCCTCGATCTGCACAGTGTGTAACTGGCTACTGCAGCTGCACTGTCATTTCAACCAGGAAATATCACAGGTCAGAACTGCAACATAGTAGCCAGCTACACACTGTGCAGATCATTGTTGTGTATAAAAGAGTCTCATTTTAGCTATGTGCTGTGTGGGGAGGAGAAGCTCTGCTGCCTGTGCCCAGGCTGTGTGCAGTGCAGGGATGGGAGAAGGAACTCAGTGGCTGTGCTGCACAGTATTTTACTTGCAAATTACTTACAGGGCAGAACCCAAGGACACAACTCAAGAGAGGCTAGAATTTTATGTGGGAATACACGCATTTATTGTATAGCCCGTCCATTTTTATGCTTGAATTTTCTGCCAGGAATCTATTCATACATCAGTACTGTCTTCATGTACATTCACATGGCCATAAAATGGCTGTAAACTTTTACTGAACAATTGACAAGGAAAAAGGTTTCTGCATAAATGATCCATAAAGAGATGAGTCTTTAATGCTTTTTTCCCAGGGGGGTTCCGTTTTTTTCATCAGTTCAGTCATGTTTTTCCAAGAAAAAACGCTTCAGTTTACGTCAGTTTGTCATCAGTTTACATCAGTTTACATCAGTTTGTCATCAGTTTACATCAGTTTTTCATCAGTTAACATCCGTTTTTCATCCGTTTTCTGTTCATTTACATCTATTTTTGGTCTGTTTTCATCTGTTTTCAGCTGTCTTTTGTTCATCTACTTCCGTTTTTTGTCCGTTTACATCCATTTTTATCAGTTTACATCTGTCTTTTGTCTGTTCCGTTTTTTTAACACAAGAAAAATAGGGTTTTCTTCCATTCAAAAACATGGATGTTAATGGATGCGGACATTAACGGATGTAAGCAGCTGATCATCCATTTACATCCGCTAGTCCATAGCAATACATGGGTGTCCGTTTTTCATCTATAAACAGACAGATGAAAAACAGACATACAGAACACCCGTGTGAAAGGAATCTTAATCTGTAAAAATTGTCATGTTTTTTTTTTCTCAATGGCATATATGCCTACGCATGTCTTCGGACACTGTTTTATTTTTACAGCCCTATAAGGACTTAAAGTATCAGCAGTTTTTGCAGTGCTTTACAATATGGCTACCTGCACATGGGTGCAAATATTTTACTGATCTTATTATCATCCACTCCCTCATCATATCACGACTCGAATACTGCAACTGCCTCCTCACTGGCCTGCTTCGCCGCTGGCTATCCCCGCTTCAGTCGATCCTGAATACGGCTGCCAGACTCATTCACCTTTCCAACCGCTCCGTTTCCGCCACCCCCCTCTGCCAATCCCTCCACTGGCTTCCAATTGCGCAACGGATCAAATTTAAAATCCTAACACTGACGTACAAAGCTGTCCACCATACTGCCCCGAACTACATCACTGACCTAATATCCAAGTACCGCCCAGCACGCACACTTCGCTCCTCACAAGACCTCCTTCTCTCTAGTTCCCTGGTCTCCTCCTCCCATGCCCGCCTCCAGGACTTCTCCAGGGTGTCACCCATCCTCTGGAACTCCCTGCCCCAACCCATCAGATTATCACCTACTCTCCTCTCCTTTAGGCGCACCCTGAAAACCCATCTCTTCAGGGAAGCCTACCCCCTGCTAACTTGACCGACCTCCTCCACTCTTCCTACCACTCCATCCCCCACAGCTATCTCCTCCTGTACCACCATCCCCTCCCTCCTAGATTGTAAGCTCGAAAGAGCAGGGCCCTCAATCCCCTCATGTTTTGCATTGTATTGGTATTGTTCTGTCACATGTTCTGTCCCCCTTTGTAATGTACAGCGCTGAGTGAACTATTGGCGCTTTATAAATACTGTATATTAATAATGTGTGTTTTTTCTAGCACAAATGTTTCTGTGCATATGTGTATACATATGTCTCAGAGGCAGATTTTTGGATTTTGTGTTATGGATCTAAATGCAGTGCATGTTTATGCACCTGTGTGACTTCATTGAAAACAATGGAGCTACGTTCAGATCTGTAAATAAAGGTGCTGTAAATGCGTTTTTTTTACAGCCATGTGAATAAAGCCTATAAAAGAATAAAGGGCAGTTACAATACAATTCAGTGCAAGAGGATTAGGCGTTATAACATCAAGCTTGTAACTACAGACATGTCACCTAACAGCCGTTCTCCTTCATTCCTCCTACCACTCCATCCCCCACAGCCACTTCCTCCTGTACCACTACCCCCTCCCTCCTAGATTGTAAGCTCGAAAGAGTAGGGCCCTCTAACCCCTCGTGTGCTGTTTGTAGTTGCTGTACTGTTTCATGTATTGTCCCCCCCTCTATTGTACAGCGCTGAGCAAACCCGTTGGCGCTATATAAACTCGATGTAATAATAATAATATTCACTATAGGGAATTACATACAGATGAGTTATAGCACTTTAGGGCTGAAGACATATCAGGAAGTTTAGATCCTATATAGAAAAATACAAGAGCTAAGGACACTATAGGATATTCCATATGGGCATCGCAGTGGCTTAGGGATTAGCATGTCTGGCTTGCAGCACTGGGGTCCTTGTCTTGAATCTCTTTGTGCTTGGTGGCACATGTTGGTAGATTTATTGGCTCCTGTCTAAAAATTGGCCTGTGTAGGTGATGTAGAAGTCATAGATTGTAAGCTCCTTGGTGGCAAGGACTGATGTTAATGTACGATATATGTAAACTGTCAGTGCTATATACAGTAAGTACCTATAAGAAACAATATACAGATGAGTTATAGCAGGGGTTAAAATTTGGAGTCCAGACCTGCTAGCCGGTCACAAAACTTACTCTCCACCAGTTGCCCTACCCAACCTTGCCCAGGAGTCCCCCGCGGGTGGTGGAGAGGGTGTCTCCTCTCAGTGGAGGGAGAGCGGACCTCTCCTGCACCTGTCCCCTCGGCGGCAGTGCCGCAGAAGCCGTAAACCGGAAGTTGCAAACCTTCACAATGAGGCTTGGAGCGCAGGTGCAGTTGCTCCATGCTTCATCTGTGCTCGTTGCTCGCCGTTCGTCACAGAGGAATTTCTCCTCGCATTTGGCGAGCGGCTTTTTCAAGCCCTGAGTTATAGCATCATTCTATAACATCAGGAATGTTAGATTCTTTACAATAGCTGGGGACACTGTAGGAATTATTACATAATGGAGTAATATAGCATCACCCTCATGTTATAAGTGAAGATAAGTCAGGGAGGTGAGATGACATATAAGAGGATATAGCATATAGAGAGGTTATGACAGCAGAGTGATGTTATAACTACAGATATTAGGAAGGTTGCATGTGTATCACAGCTTCTTGGACAAAATACAACTCCACACTTACACCATTGGGGTGAGAGCAAAAAACTTGAAGAATAATCACAGAGGAGGAACAACTTGTCTGAACACAGACAGTATTTCTGGTTACTGACAACTGTCATGGCTGTGATCTGTCCGCACAATGGATGTGATGATGGCTGCGCCAACTCAACATAAGCCCCCATACATGACCAGCTCACCTGAGCTCCGCTCTCCACTTTCATCCTTTACTCCTCCTCCTAAAATGTGTCCAGCTCACAGCACTGAGCCGCCTCCTCAGGTCCTGTCCATCAATTTTCTCCAACAATTCTGCACACTTCTCATAACTATTTTTCTACTGTTTTCATGCCCGCACATTACATTGTGCCGATCGTGGATGTATGTAAAGGAATCCAAGCTCAGCTGTGTGGGGAGGAGAAGCTGTGCTACCTGTTCTCCTCTGCAGCGCAGAGATGAGAGCAAAAGATCAGCAGCAGGCCACAGAGTACGGGGTGGGTGGGCAACTGAATTCTGGGAGGCACAGCCCACCCCAGCACCCTGCTAGAGCCAGCCAGCAAATCTTTTGTTTTATAAAAGCTCAAACTCTACAGCAGAACGTATCAGTTTATTTGGAAGAGAGAGTCCATTTTACACGGGCAGGGTCTTTTATTTATTCATGTAAAATCTTTATCCAAAAAGGAAAAAACGGTTTGCTGTAATTGATTGTAAAGTGTTAGCTGGGGTTTGGCTTCAGTTAGTTACTGTTCTTAAAGCTGCTAGCACATGTAACACTCCACTCCTTCCAGATTGACAATGCTGCTGTCTGCTGTGCTTCTTGTCTTCATTCCTCCAAAGTGGTGTCTTACTAATACAGGAGGTGCGTTATTGCTCAAATCAGCAGGTGAAAACAGAGGGAAAAAGCCAAACAAAAAAAAACTGATGCAGCCACCACATCTGAGGATCAGTAAGCTGCAATAAATTACATTTTTGGTTTAATACCGCTTTAATTAATAAACTTTGAACATATATAGAAATATGTAACCCTTATGATTAAAGCTAAACTCCAGAAATAGATTTTATTGCACAGTTACATTGGTCCATCTTGGCCCATTGTAAGTATGCATATACCATACTTTAACTCTTGACCTGCTGTGACATGGAGAATCACTGTAGTCGTGGCTGCTACTACAGTGATCTCTGCTGTCTTCCAGGACCTGTGCTGAGTGGCTACCTTGCTTCATAGTAACTAAAGGGGTCGCTTACTTGGCACAGGTGCTATTCAAAAAACATATTCCATTTTCCCCAGTGAATGCAAGGTTTTCTGTGACTGGAACGAGGAGGGCAGTGATGTCACAATTTCCACCTTGTCCAATCAAAGAACACTTTACATTCATTTAGGGGAATACATGGTGTTCTGTGGATGGAGGCTTGATGAGCAAACAACTCCCTGAGGTTACTATGCAGCTGGGCATTTGCTTGGCAAGGGACCTGGAAGACAGTGGTGATCAATAGTAGTGGCCACTACTATGATTCTGTGCTTCCACAGTGGTCCCACAGTTATGACATATGCCAACTTACATTGGTCCAAGCTGGACCAGTGTAACTATGCAATAAAATCTATGTTCAACTTTAAGCTTCAGATGGCGTAAACCATGTCATAGGAGGTGAAGTAGGGTCTGGCAGAGGGCATTGTGCTTGACTTTGTCAAAACATTTATGGAATGGTTGTTTCCTGGGATAAGAAAGTATTTAGCAGAGCTTCAGCTGTTTGGATTTTAATTCTCTATATTGGGGGAGGGCAGATCCTGTTTGAGTGGGCACCCGTCGGCAGTGAAGGTGAGCCAGAAGTCTGCTCGGAGTGGTATCATTTACAAATAGCTTGATATCTTTTGGGAAGTTAAAAGTTGCCAACACCAACCAGTCAGAAGAAGCAGCCAACTGCTTGCTATATGCAACACAATAACTTTACTTTACCTCCAGTTTATATAAATAAGTCTTATTGTGATATGTCTTTTTACTACATTGCAGCTGGCCGAGCCCATGGAAGTAACAAATCCGTTATTGGAACAAGCAGAATTCCGTGATGGGAAAGTGCTTCTCCCAGGAAACAAAGTTCTTATCAGTTTGAACATCTCACGTGAGTTGCACACAGTACAATATGTTGGAGCTGGTAATGCAGCTCTTCTCAAACTGGAAAGTCAGCAAATTTTTACAGTGAGGTGCAATAAAAATTCCAAAAATTAATTGAAATATTCTTTACAAAAGTGTTCGATAACCTTCTCCCTCCCCACCCCAAACACACCTTTAGTATACTGGACTCTGCCCTTTGATTCTGTACTATAAGCTAAGTCTTCAACAATGGCAGCCTTCATACTTCTTGGTACAGCTTTCCTTTAAAGGGAACATTTTCTGAGAGAAATATAGAGGCTGCCATTGCTACCTGCTTCTGAAAATTCTAGTTACTGGCTTCACACTTCAATAGTTAGTATGGCTGGTATGGCTATTGGATCAGCACGAAAGCCAGGTAGTTTTAGAAGAAGAGCTTAGCAATGGAAGCCTACATATTGCATCATTACAGCTGTCCTTCAAATGTATTGCATTATAAATATCTTGTGTTATAAGGTGGGTAGATACTGCATTTCAGTGTGTGTACAAAACATTCCCAACTACCTTGGGTGTGAAGAGGGTAAATTAGATTTTTTAGGCCATTTTAGCAAATCATTAATAACTTGAAATAAAGTTATATTGTAAGTAAATAATCACATGGATCCCAATGTTTTTTATGTTATTCTCTTCAGGGAACAAGATTTCAGAGCTTGGCCTGAAAGGCTTTCTGACAGCAATGGAGACCCAGATGGCAGAGACAAAGCCCATTCCTGGTACCAGGAGCCACACAGGACTGTTGAGGCTGGCTGTGGGGGTGAGAGACCTGTGTTCTGTATAATTTTGGTGAATAACTTCCAACTGTTCATCATTTGGAGGACCTGAATTTCTATTGAAATCAAATGCAACTGTCCCTCTTCATTCCTTAGTTGGTCCTCTTTTCAGTTTTATGCATAACCACCATAACTCTAATTGTTTTAAGCAATACTTTTTATTTAGTAATTCTTTGTGGTCTGCATAACTTGTCACATGACAGGGGTGTGTCCTTTACCTACATTTTTTTCTAAAAGGTGTCCCTCTTTTTCATCACAAAAAGTTGGAAGAGAGGTTGTGTAAAACTTAGTACAGTTCTTAAAGGGAACCTGACCTTTGATTATAAAGAGCATCTTAAAAATGTAAATTGCGCCATCAAGTCTGAAACAATCTACATTTTGCCTTAAATTTCTCCTGAAAAATAAGTACATCCTATGCCTACATATTCATAGCTAAATATCTGCTGTGTGAGAGGCACTGCTGGTCTCAGGAGATTTAAGCTGAGATGTGGTGATGTCACTGCTGTGCAGCTTAGCTTGCTAGAGAGAAAGCTGTACCTAAGAACCAGTAGTACAAGAGTCCCCCTGCTTCTATTGTATCCATTGGATGTGTTCCTTCTTAACCTTTCCTGATGTTTTTTTGAGAAAAGATCAACTGCAGGGAGACCACAGACAATACTGGTACCTGATCTTTTGACCTCTGCTTGCCTTTTTAGGGTACAGCTTCTACAATTCAGGTGGAACAGTAAATGTTCTTTAAGTGAATCTGTGAGGATTTAAATATAGAAGCACCCATTGCTTTTTAAAGGTGAAGTCTCCAGAACGGTCATGGTGTTCCTGCGACGGTATCAAAAGTCTTAAAAAAAAAAAAAAAAGTTTTGTGCTGCAAGGTAATATCATAATGTACTAATATGTAACGCATACTAGCACATTATGAAAGATTTACGTCAGAACAAAGCCCTCCAGTGGCACACTGTTACCGCTGCAGAGGCTTCCATCCACACCCAGTCTTCCTTCCAGGTTCACAGGCTATAGGCAAGCCACTGATGACATCACTCTCGCGGCTACGCCCAGGAGTCTTGACCATGTCACACAGCTCTGAAGGCATGGCCCAGGTATGCTGTTCCTTCAGAGTGCATGCGTCGGTGATGTCACCAGCTACTGCTCCATTGAATATCTGAATACGGTGAACATTTAGGAGATATTAATTTTAAAGTGCTGAGAAGCAGTAGCCAGAACAATAGATTTAAGCCACAAGTGCAATTTTTCAGTCCAGGCACTGCATCTTGGTAAAGCTTAACATACAGTATCTCACAGAAGTGAGTACACCCCTCACATTTTTGTAAATATTTTATTATATACTTTTTCATGTGACAACACTGGAGAAATGACACTTTGCTACAACCTAAAGTAGTGAGTTTACAGCTTGTATAACAGTGTAAATTTGCTTTTCCCTCAAAATAACTCAACACAGCCATTAATGTCTAAACTGCTAGCAACAAAAGTGAGTACACCCCTAAGTGAAAATGTCCAAATTGGGCACAAAGTGTCAATATTTTGTGTGACCACCATTATTTTCCAGCACTGCCTTAACCCTCTTGGGCATGGAGTTCACCAGAGCTTCACAGGTTGCTACTGGACTCCTCTTCCACTTCTCCATGACAACATCACGGAGCTGGTGGATGTTAGAGACCTTGCGCTCCTCCACCTTCCATTTGAGGATGCCCCACATGTGTTCAATAGCGTTTAGGTCTGGAGACATGCTTGGCCAGTCCATCACCTTTGCCCTCAGCTTCTTTAGCTAGGCAATGGACGTCTTGGAGGTATGCTTGGGGTTGTTATCATGTTGGAATACTGCTTTGCGGCCCAGTCTCCGAAGGGAGGGGATCATGCTCTGCTTCAGTATGTCACAGTACATGTTGGCATTCATGGTTCCCTCAATGAACTGTAGCTCCCCAGTGTTGGCAGCAGTCATGCAGCCCCAGACCATGACACTCCCACCACCATGCTTGACTGTAGGCAAGACACACTTGTGTTTGTACTCCTCATCTGCTTGCTGCCACACACGCTTGACACCATCTGAACCAAATAAGTTTATCTCTCATCAGACCACAGGACATGGTTCCATTAATCCATGTCCTTAGTCTGCTTGTCTTCAGCAAACTGTTTGCAGGCTTTCTTGTGCATCATCTTTAGAAGAGGCTTCATTCTGGAACGACAGTCATGCAGACCAATTTGATGCAGTGTGTGGTGTATGATCTGAGCACTGTCAGGCTGACCCCCCCACCCCTTCAACCTCTGCAGCAGTGCTGGCAGCACTCATACATCTATTTCCCAAAGACAACCTTTGGATAAGATGCTGAGCACGTGCACTCAACTTCTTTGGTCGACCATGGCGAGGCCTGTTCTGAGTGGAACCTGTCCTGTTAAACTGCTGTATGGTCCTGGCCACCGTACTGCAGCTCAGTTTCAGGATCCTGACAATCTTCTTATAGCCTAGGCCATCTTTATGCAGAGCAACAATTCTTTTTTTCAGATCCTCAGAGAGTTCTTTGCCATGAGGTGCCATGTTGAACTTCCAGTGGCCAGTATGAGAGAGTGAGAGCAGTAACACCAAATTTAACACACCTGCTCCCCATTCACACCTGAGACCTTGTAACACAAATGAGTCACATGACACTGGGGAGAGAAAATGGCTAATTGGGCCCAATTTGAACATTTTCACTTTTGTTGCCAGCGGTTTAGACATTAATGGTTGTGTGTTGAGTTATTTTGAGGGGACAGAAAGTTTACAGTTATGCAAGCTGTACACTCACTACTTTACATTGTAGCAAAGTGTCATTTCTTCAGTGTTGTCACATAATAAAAATAATATATATAAGATATAATAAAATATTTACAAAAAATGTGAGGGGTGTACTCACTTCTGTGAGATACTGTACATATTACGATCTGGTCATATAAATTTTGTACAGCAAAAACATATCATATGTAAAGCGCTGAGCAAACTGTTGGTGCTATATAAATCCTGTATTATAATAATAATAATAAACTTACCTGATCTATTCAGTTAGGCAGGCCCTTGAACTACCTAGTTGTTGGTTAGATCTAACGGAAATCTATTATCAGACTGCACAATGTAACATGAGATAAGCTTAAAAGAAGACATACTGTATAGTTAGAAGCAACAAAAGTCCATCAGGTTATTGAAGAGGTCAGATGGTTTGCAGATTCTTGCATCTGCAATGAGAGGTGCATGCAAATAGCCACAGCCACTCAGTATAATATTGACAGCAGCTTTTCTCGGTTCATAAGTAGCCATGTGATAAGCGGTCACTTGCTGTTAGGCACAGTTGTCTGAGCCTGGGTACATCAGACTGTGTGCACAAGCTTTTGTTCCCTTTATGCGGGTCTTGCATTTTCATAAAAATCCACGGGAATGCAAAACCCACTTGAAGCTGCTAAAAGGCAGGCCAGAGGAATGTCAACTGCAGGTCAAACACACATCACTGAATTCTGAGCAAAAGCATGCAAACTGATGTCATGGACATATGCCCATTGATGCAGACCTTTTTACACAACTTTCTCCCTTGAAGAGAGATTTCAGAAAATGCTTTAGCACAATACTGAGCTGTTTCAAATCAAATATATACATATTAGTTGGCAGCTGTTTACACCTACCAGGCCTATTTGCACCATTTAAATCTGAAGTATCCCTTGCACGTACAGGGCGGTGTACAACCACTTGAAAAATACAGCACTCCTCGTGTATTAATGTGCCTGACTGCCAGTCTTTGCTGCCCACATCAGCCATTCTACTTATCCTTTTCTTACCATTTGCCGAATGGGAGACTGAAAAAATAAATCTGATTGCTTTAGGATGCATAGACTGAAAGTCATTGATGAATGGGGTCAAATGTGTTTTGATATTATAACTAAGTTTCTAGCATGCAATACATGATAAAATGGCCCAGTTAACATTAATTCTTAAATTCCAGAACAACAACTTTCCTGCTGACTGTCCAACTTTAATGAAACTCCAGGAGATCCTGCTGCCTCGAGATCCCATACTGAAATCTTGCAAATCTGCTGAAGAGGAACAACCAATGTGATCAGATACAAGGTGTATGGTGTCAAGCCTTAAAGTGCACCTGTAAAACCAGAACAGCAAAAAAAAAAAAAAAAAAAAGCATGTGTCATACTTAATGACCTTGAGAACTGAAAAACAGCCCACACAGTAACCACACTGTGACAAACAGGTTAAATGGATACATAAACACATAAGAAACTGTAACACACTGGGGTGAATTTTATAATAAATACCATATGATAAAAGCAGTAGTGCAGAAGTGAGAAGAAATGAGAAATCTCTCATATCCTGTAAATTATGCTCATAACTATACACTGATAACTGACAAAAAATAATGGCTGTGCTGCTGCCTTTTGGGGTGGCTTGGGAAAACAATAGATAAAAGAGGGACAGAAAACAGCTTCATAGCTTAGTAAGCTTGATCACTGTAGACAAAATAAAACAATAATATTCACAAGAGAAGGAGAACAGGACCAGCACGGAACAGAGCAGGGATCATTCTGAGGTTCAGAGCCTCAAATCTTCAGCTTCTGTAAGGGACAGCACCAGAGACATGATTAGTATTGTAGCCAGAGCTTTGTTTTTATTCAACCCTCTCTTTGGCCAATTCTTTACTTTTTTCTTTAAGCTGGAGTTGGCGATTCTGGTGATAGGTATTACTAAGCACTGTATGTTAGCGAGCAGTGGCTGCACAGATCTGCCTCTACACAATCTCTGGTGATGTGCACTGCATAAATGCATATGTGCAAGATTTTGCCTCCTTTTAGTTCAAACCCCAAAGAAACAAACCCCACTTTAAGAAGGGGCAGCTTCCATGGGCCCAGTCGTTATTGTGGAGCTCAAAGCAGCTGCCCCATACTTGACAACTGTCTCAGTTTACATTCCCTTGTCCCTTGAAGTCTTCATCACTTGCTGTGCCCAGGTATCTGTGTGAAGTGCTGTCACTTATGCTGCCCTATTGGCATGACTCACATGCAGTTCATGTCATCATTCAATTTCTAAATAATTGCCATTCATATGTAAATATAGATGAGCCAGCTGCATTGATATGTAACTAGTGGGGTCATTCAAATGTAAATATCAGTTGTATTCTTATGTATATTATGCCCTCCTGAGGTTCCAGCCATTACTTTTTTCATTACATTGGTGGTCAGTGTCAATTTCCCTTTTGCATTGGTGGTAAATGCAGAATTTCCCTTACACTGGTGGCCAGTGTAAATCCCCTATTACATTGTTGGTCGATGTAGAAATGTCATCTCCCATCCCCCCACCAGCACTGTCACTCATCCCATCCCCACCACTGATCCCATCAAACCCCCAGCCCTGGCACTGATTCCAGGAGTCCTAGAATTCCTAGGAGCTTGCTGTCTATTAGTGGATCCCATCACCTTCCCATTCCATGGTGTGCAGGCAGTGGGGAGATGTGCTGTAACCTTCAGCATCCAATCAGTGAGGGATAATTAAGTGCTGTAGCTTCTATCAGCCAAATCAGTTAGCTGTAATGATGTTCTGTAGCCTCTAGCAATCAATAGGTGGTAATGATGCACAGTAGCCATCAGCAGCCAATCAGTGATTAAGGATGTACAGTAACTTCTAGCAACCAATCAGTAACCAGGAATGATGTGCAGTAACCTCTCGCAACCAATCAGTAAGCAGAAATCATGTGCTCTAGCAAATAATCAAGGAACCATAATGTGTGCTGTAGCCTCCACCAGCCAGTAAGTGAGCTGTAATGATATGCTGTAACCTCTGGTAATCAATTGCAGTTGCTGCCTGATCAACTGATATTAAGTCTAGCAGCTATTTATTGTATGTCTCAGAGCAGTTGGAGATTGAAATTGCATGGTGGAGCCCATGAAAATGTTTGCCCAGGGTCCAGTCAATATTAAAAGATGGCCCTGGCCATATTTTTTTCCTAGTACATGTAACAACATGTCTGGTGACCTTTGCAGATATAAGAGACATGTCAAGTTCTCCCACTCCTCAGAGGATAGGGCAACTGAGCATCTTGTTATGTGGGTGGTGGCTAAGACTGGATACAATTGGATTGGACCGGAGAAAGTTCCATAATATATAGTTGTATTCAAAATAATAGCAGTGTGTTTATTAAAAAAAAAAAAAAAAATTGAGAAGAGGGTAAAGCTCACAATCCTTATAATTGCTTTTATTTCTATACACATATTAGGAACACTGCACAGTCTATTCCGATTTAAAACATGAAGAAAAATGTTTCAGATTTGGTATTACATTACAGAAAGTGAAGAATACAGAATATTAGGCTGTTCAAAAAAAAATAGCAGTGTCTGAATTTTTCTTTACAAACTCAAACATTTATTTTATAAACTGAAAAAGGCTTGAAGATTTAGCTTTCCTGTGACTCGCTGAATATTTAGTTGTATAACCACCATTTCTGTATTGCATGGAGTTGACCAACTTCTGTCACCTGTGAATAGGTATTCCAGCCCAGGACAATTGCACTACATTCCACAATTCCTCTGCATTTCTTGGTTTTACTTCACAAACAGCATTTTTATGTCACCCCACAAGTTGTCTATGGATTAAGGTCAGGGGATTGGGCTGGCCACTTCATAACAATCTTGTTGGTCTGGAAGCAAGATGGTGCTCACTTACTGGTGCGTTTGGGGTCGTTGTCTTGTTGAAAACACCCATTTCAAGGGCATTTGCTCTTTGGCATAAGGCAACATAACCTCTTCAAGTATTTTGATGTATTCAAACTGATCCATGAACCTAGTATGCAATAAATAGGCCCAACAACATAGTATGAGACACATCTCCATATCACAATACTTGCACCATCATGCTTCACGGGGCACTATGGCCCCTAGACCCAAGAAGAACAATCTTGCTTTCATCAGTCCACAAAATGTTGTGCCATTTCTCTTTAGACCAGTCAGTGTGACTTTGCTGGGGCTTCTTGCCAATGGCTTGGCTTTCCATAGGCATCTTTTAATTGTTACAGTAGTCGCAGGTAAAAACTTTAGACCTTTGAGCACCATGGAGCTGATCATTCACTAAGTCTTTGCCATTTTGGCTATTCTTCAATCCATTCAAATTGTAGCTTTCCATGTCTTTCTGGTTTTAGTTGCCATTTTAATGCATTTTGAGAACATTTTAGCTGAGGAGCCTGTTAGTTTCTGCACATCTTTATAGGTTTTCCTCTCTCCAATCAACTTTTTAATCAAAAGTACCCTGTTCTTCTGAACTATGGTGTCAGTTTAAGAGAGAAAAGCTGAGATGCTGAGGATCACAGCTGATCTCTCAGGTCTGCCAGTTCATGAAGCGAAGGTGAGGCATGGAGAACATTTTCTTCACAGGACACACCCTTCTGTCATTCACTTTTATACAGATATGGCCAGTTTATGAAGGTGAGACCTGAAGAGCTCACTAGCCATCTCTTTAAAATATCTCCATCCCAGATTCTCCAGCACAGAGCTGGAGAATCTTGGTGAGAAGCTGCTGAGATGTGAGGAAGAAGGCTTCTTTCTTCCTAATATCATCACCACCGAGGTTAAACATGGATATACATTTTAACCATATATGTGTATGTATATTTGTGTTCTATATAGTGTACATATATACACATACAGTATAGTCATAAGGTATTGTCATTTAGGACACATTCATACCTGAGCAATGCAGAATTCCAAATTGTGCTAAAATTGCATTAAAATACATAGTGCGCTTTTGGGTGCCATTCATTGTTAATGGCACCCCAAATGCTGTGAGTAGACACACATTTTGTCATTTGACAAATACGCTTTCAAACAAACTAAAATACGTATTGAAAAACCACACAACACGCCATACCCAAAAGAAAAAAAAAAGTGTCAGTTTGGCTTTTTGGGGCCTTTTTAATGCACATTTTGGTGAAGTTTTTAACAAGCATTTTGCTGCTTTTTTCAACACACATTTTTTTAAAAAAAAGTGAGCTGAAATTTAGTATGTGCATTTTGGTGCTTTTTAATGTTTTGGCTCCTTTATCTCAGTTTGTGTGTGTTCTGGAAACACATGCCATGTTTGTGGTGCCATTATTTGTTAATGACACCCAAAAGTGGCTAGCAGATGTGCAGTTCGCACATGGGAAAAAAAAAAAAAGCAAAATGCACTTTAAAAAAGTGCCAAAATGTGTGTTACAAACCACACCAAAATACATGTTAAAATAAAAACTGTGCCAAAATGTGCGTTAACCTGCATAGGTGTGAACCTAGCCTTAAGCACTTTGAGTTTGAGCCATTCCTGCATCATGCTTTTGATGCATTTTGCGTTTTTTTTTTTTTTTTGTTCTTGTTGCTAGACAGATTTAAAATGGAAAAAGCAAAATGCATCAAAAGCGTGGCAAAAAATGCAATACATGCTTTTCTGCAAGGTTTCCATCGAAGTTTATAGAACCAAAAATTTTTGCATTCAAAAAAGTCCCTGACCCTTTCCAAAAAAATCACCAGGTGAAACGCACAGGTGTGAACAAGTCCCATAGAAAATCATCTTAAAATGTCCATACTGCATTTCTGCAAAATGCTGCGGAAAATGCTTAGGTGTGAACCTAGGGTAAATGTGTTTTTTTTTTATGTGCATTTTGGCACTTTTCTAAACACACATCAAAATGCATGTTAAAAAAAAAAAAAAAAAAAAAAAAAAGAGCCAAAATACACATTTATAGAATGTGCCAAAATGTACATTAAAAAATACCAGTGGTCAGTGCTTATTATTTTCATGTAATGGTCTATTTAACTTTGGTTTCACTGTTCAAACTCAGGTGATCTGTAATCACACAATTATCTCAGGAGATCACATTCAGCCCTCCCTCTTCTACATAGATCTCAGCTGTTCTCAGAGGAAAAACTTCCTTTGTCCCCGTTTATGAAGCCGAGAACATTTGTTCTCAGATTTTTTTTTTCCCTGAGAACTGAAATGAGATCATTTATCTCTGCTTAATAAAAACGTACACCAACGTCTGGAATGGCCAAATTTTTACTCAGATTTTTAGAGAGAAACGCACTTTAT